GAAATAGATGTTCTTGCAGTAAAAATGGGTTTGGGTTTTTTTCAATTACTGATTAGATTAGCGCATGGAATTGACATTTATCCGGCCGGAGACCGTGTACTTGCAACTGATAGGAAAACAATCTCCAAGATTACAACACCGATCTTCCATTCGATCTCAGGGACACATTTTTTTGATGACTTATGCATTTTCTTCGAACAATATGTATCATTGAGATCAATTTTTCCACACTTTATGTTTATTTTGGCAGACGAAATTGATTGACACAGGCACAGAATAAAAAACCGGAAATTTGTCATAATAGTTTCCAGGTTTATTTTTCAACGGAAATCAATTTTAGCCCAATGATTTTGGCCTTGAGAAAAAACTCAAATCATTTCGTAGTAATGGATGAACCTATGACTCAGAAATGGAATTGCAATTGTATTTAATTGGTAAATTAATATTAATTTACGAAGAATGAAAACATCCGTCAGTTTGACTATTGTGGGATATTATTATGACTAATATTGTTATTATTGAGTACTGGGGAAGGAATAGTTCAACAGTTGGTGGAGAATTCGGGTTCAGATTTTATTTATCTATATAAACTCAAATTGAATAATTTTATTATTCAATATTATTTTTTATAAATCCAGAAAATTTTGATTTCCCGAGCCATCTTCTGTTTGATATATACTAATTCAATAGGATATATCTTTTACATAGACTTTTAATTTATTATTTCTTCACGAATTTCGAAAATAGTCCATATTATATCTATTTTTATGAATTCTTAGTCGATTTTCCAATGGACATTGTAATAAACATTAATATCCAGAGCATTCGAATTTCCATAAAACAGCGGGAAAAGTTTCAAAAGGCGACCGTGCAGAGTCTCCAAGATCGTAACATGTGTCTCGCGATTGGTCGACGGTTAGTACTTCCCCTCCGTCCCTCCTCCAACACGCGTCATCGCATTGGCCTCACGCACGCGAAATCACGCGTGTGTCTGCCCTCACCCACACACAAAGCCATGATGCCGCGTAACTTGTAGATACGTTTCACATAATCGTCGTTATCGCTTCACAAAAGTACACAACTCACACGTTGAAACGCATTGCCCGCGTATTGGAATTACCATTAGTCCGTGGAAGTCAGCATTTCCGTCCTTCTCCGTCAGTCTCGTCTTCAACATTTTACCCAGTTGTCGTTATAAAAGTCTCGACAAAGTTCCCTCGAGTCTTAACTCGCGCGTTTCACTCGCGACACCACTCTCAAGTGTTTGTTAATCATTTTTTTTTTATTCTCCATTACTTCGGCGGTGGTGGGGCCTGGGGGGAGGGGGTACGATATAAAACCGGCGATCGGAGAATAAAGAGACTCGGTGGGGAATATCCAGGAGTTCCCAGTGTTATTGCGAAGTGTTTCCGGTGTTGCGATTTTTTAAACGTCGATTTTTGTGGTGAGATGACCAGTGCAGGTAGACAGGCTAGCAACGGTGAGAATCGGGGGCGAAATGGCCACGTGCTGGTGTGGGAGCAGCCCGGCCTCGACGAGAACGACAAGCGCGAGGCTAAGCAACGAGGTAATTAGTCCGGTTATTCATTTTATAAAATTTTTTTTATTAGGCTTTTTTGGAAGATGGTCCACAATTTTAACGCCATTTCTATGGAGTCGCGTAACCCGAGAATGCGAATGGTGCACGCGGCATCCAAGTGCCGGGATCTCTTTCTCACTCTAGTGACTTTTCCGACTCTCTCGAGACTTGAATCGCTGCGGGGAGCCCATGGAGAGCACGTGCAATATCACTCCTTCTCTCGTGTTCTCGTCATTCGACCTCTACAAATCCATCAATTTCCCCCAAAAATCTCCCAGAATCGCCAGTGACTTTTTTTTCTTACCGATTTTTGCCGATTTTTTACCGATTTTTTTGCTGATTTATATAGCAAATGTGCTCGTTGATTCAGAAATTCATACGACAAGACAAATTTTTTCATTTCATGATGACAGAGCGACAGCCCTGGTGACACAATATTTTTATTTTTTACGCTAACATTTAGATAATGAGTGATGATCGGTTAAGGAAAATTTGAAATTCAAAAGAATTCAATGTGTGGAAATACGAGGGACAGTGTTAACGAGCGCGGCCGACGTGGTCTCTAGCATTCACGCGGTTATTTAAAGACAACAAGGTATGAGACTCTACGTAGGCGTTAGTTAACAGCTAAAGTTGCTCGGGATTACTGATGGTTAAATGCCGAGTAATTTCAGGATGGCAGGATAGCACGGAGGGATCTCCAACTGGATCATTAAATATCAGCGATTAAGATCTAAAACGATCGAAGTCTCATTCACCCTTGTCTATGACTTCATCCAGAAAATCACGGATTTTAGAGAAAAACCTTGAGAACCTTTTTTTTAACTCATAAATTCATGACAAAAAACGTTCTTTGGTATTTCCCCCTGAAATCAATAATTTTTTAAATCAATCGAAATTTCTTAGATGAGTCGGTAAAACTGTTCGATTCGACTTTAGATGTGGCTTAGTTTTCCGTCGATATCTCGGAACTAAGCATTTAGATTAAAAATGTTCATATAACCTTTTTTGTAGATCAGAATCCGAGCGACAAAAAAGGTTCTTACAAAAATCTCGCTGTGTCCATTAGAATGACCGAAATCGTGAAATCTCTCAAAGCCTGCGCAGAATTATCGCTCCCTGCAGTTGGCGATAAACTTCAAGGCCACCGAAATCCGAGTCCAGCACGAAGCGGGAGGGATTCATGATTTTTTTTTCTCGAAAGTCATATCAATTTACATTTGATTGATCGATTGTGCAATTAACGTGCAATTCCTTGCATCATGCTGCATCGGGGCAAAGTTTTTGTTTGTCATTCTAGAATAGAATAAAAAAACATGTAACGCAACAATGAAACGCACTTAATCTCATGAATAAGGAGGAAAACATAAAACTACTGAGAATTATTTCATTTCCGTTAGAGTGAGTTACTTCACACGTTGGAATTGTTTCCGATGATATGCGTAAATATGGAATGACGTCAGAGACTCGGCTGTCACGTTCACGTGCACAGATCACGAGTCTAGAGCCTCTCCCACTTGATGCATCAATTCTTTCCGATCATTTTGTACCTCTAATCGACGAGTGATGATTTTTTTTTATTGCTTACTCAATTTATGGAGTCTGTTTCCATACGCTTACACCGGCCCGCCACGTGCTCGGGTGCCGGACACAGCCGAGGGCTTACGATACCCAACGGAGACCCCCGACGACCCCCGATCCACCGCTTCGGCTCCAGAATTGCGAGGATTATGTTAATAAATTAGAAGTTTTGATGGGATTAATGAGGGTATATATAGGGAATTGACAGATGAGGGACTAGTTTATTTCGTTGTTGAATATTCGAGTTCGATCTTGGCACTTCGACCTCGCGCTCTTGCAGATTATCCGCAGAATCTTATTGACTCCGAGGAAGCGGATCGAAAAAATTGTAGAAAAATTTAAGCTGACGTTTTTCAAGCGGCGAATTTTGCTACAGACATTGTGAAATTTTAAGAACAATTTTTGGTTTTACAAGATCAAATTCCGATTTTCGGGTTAATTCTACTATAATTCTTTTCCGTGTAAATATCTGAATCATTGTTAATTAAATTCATTTTCGGAAGTTCAGTGGATTTTAATAATGAATAATGACGAATCAATACCGCTGCTAATCCGACATCAAGTAATTGCAGATCCTCACCTATTAGGTAAAAAATTACATGTTAATTTCAGACTGAAATTTTTTAAGAGAAATTCGATGAAAATCAGGAAAATAGCTGTTAAACGACTCATGAAATTTTGATTAGGTGGGAAAATCGAGAGCGCAATGATTTGTTTATTTATGTCTCAAAGATTCCACGAAATTCTACACCCGGAGGAATGATGTGTTCGAATTATGTGACTTTAATATCATTTGAATAAGCATTTTCAGTCAAAATAACATTTTCTATCAAATTCCTTTGAAGTCAATTTTCCGCTCCAAATAACTCATTAATATTTCATAAATATCCAATTTAATTTATTCTATTAAAAAATATTTATTTAAATTCAACAAATCGACATTTTATATAATTTTTTCTTCCATTCAAAGAACCTCTACATAAGTGGTAAATACATGTTTTGTGGGCGAACAATATACAAAATATATTTTATATATTTTTTGAAATTCAAAGAAATGTCGAATTGGCAGATATAAATGTTTTTTACCTATTTTTCAATGGAGATATTGACGTAAAGAAAATTTAATCAAAGAAATTCAAACGGAGTCTTCAATTTCTCGAAGTGTATGAGGTAGGATCCTCCGAGGCGATTAATTTGTGGTAAATACCGCACATGATTTTCACGAGTTCAAAGAGCATTGAGCAATGGTTCTTCATGTTGTTGCATTGTGGCTTGTTGGAAGGAAATACAACTGGATCGCGGCCAATAAACTTCAGTTGCTCGACCTTCCCTTTCCACGAGGGAAAATGGCATTGAAGTCTGCATCGTAGGAGAAAAAAAAATGACGAGAGAGGAATTCCCTAAAAATCACCAGAAACAAAACGTAAAATCTTGTAAAATTTCTACTCAATGGAGGATTAAAATTTTGGTAATCCCAAGACAAAAAAGTTTTGAGGCATTACAAATAGAAAAATAAGTCTTTTGTAAAACAACTGTGTATTAATCCTTAATCCTACTTCAGCTACTGCCAGACAAATGCCAGACAAATTCTTTTAATCCTCATCATGATACATTAATCCTCAGCATATATTTTCCATGCAAAAATAATCACTCTCCAATTCGATTATTTGGTCTTCATAATTTGAAAATAAACTGATGAAAAATCAAATAAGAACACGATAATAATTCTTATCATTAATAAATAATTGATCAATTATAACAAAGTCAGTTATAATATTTTCTTCTATTTATTTTCCACTCATAAGATTTTAATTTAATATAAATAAGGTGAGAAAGGCCATTCTGTCTGATATAGGTTCTTTCGGTTTTTGTCTCACTTGGCTATCGCAATTATCGTATAAACAGTTCAACGTTATTCAACTACTCAATTATTTTATTCTACTCTTGAGGTACCCTACTTTCCACACGCCCTTGACGCCCCACATTCATCAGCCCGATTTATTTCTAGTCATTAACTCAAATCCGAGGAAAGAGAGTAGAGGTTTCTTCAGCTCATCTCCAACATTTCTCTGTTGAACCGACAAGATTATCATCAGTGTAAATTATGATGGAAGGCTGAGTTATGTAATAACTGATTTAGACTCTATTTACTGAAATAAATTGAGGCCCCGGGTCAGTCCGGGTCAATCCGGGTCACTCCAGGTTTCCATTTACTCCAATCCCCGCGCAATCAGAGATTCAACTTCTTAAAAATCTGGGATTAAAATTTACCGGGACACTGAAAGAATTGTCTTCACTTTGGGTAAAGTAAAAATAATCATTAGCCGAGCGAAAATTACAATTCACTTAGTGAAAAGCTAACATGTTTAGGATTAAGGGTTAATTACAATGACAACGAAATATTCATTTTAATAAATTCGTTTTAGACGAAAAATAAATGAAGAGTGTCATTGGTGGTCTCAATATTGTTTATTGATAATCATAATTCTGAATACTTGAATGATAGATTAGGGGTAATTCTAATTACATAAAATGTTGAGAATTATAGTGTAAAAATTGTAATTTTTAGGATGATGTACCAGAGGACCACATGTATCTTCTTGAATTGTCATGAATAATTCAAAGGCTTGTTATTAGAGTAGATGCTGCGGTCACAAATGTCAATTGAAGAAGTTTCTTGGGGAGTGGGCGGGTTTCGCCATCTATCAGACCGCCAAAATCCTTTCTTAGAAACTATCATAGATTAGAAGTAATTATTAGTCGCTGGAGTTGCCGACAATGAACTTGTGCTTGTTTCAATGATCAAGATTAATCAAGATTAAAAATTCAATTACATTTGTTGAAAAATTTAGCTAAATTATGTGAAATAGTATCAACTTCCATTGAAATTCCAAATCGACATTTCGTAACGGAAAAATAGAATATTCATGTCGTTGTCTTTGGGGTCGAATCATCCGAAAGATAACAACGTACTTAATTTTTCAATTAAATTATTCAATGAAAATCATAATGAATCATAAGTTGTCAGGAAAAAATTTAAAAAATTCAAAAAACTATCAGAATGGCTAATTCCTTCGGCATGGAATCTCTTTTTGAATGAATTCATCAACAATTTGTTTTGGGTTTGAAGAAATTCGGAACGGAGTTCATGATCTATCGTGGATGACATCACGCCGTGTTATCAGGTGACGTTATCACAATTTAGCCTCAAGGAATAGAGATGAGAGAAAGAATTTTAAACTTCATGACTTTCGTAATTCTTGTATTGACCAGAAATTATACAGAAAAAACTTCAGTTGTTCCAAAAATTGCTAGTCTTTAATACTATTATATATGATTTGGAATATTAATTATATATATAATAACATTATACATGTAATGTTATTATTTATATTATTTGGAATATGAACCGACATGATTCAATTTCCGCGTGATTAGTCATTATTACTTTCTATTGTTATCTCGACTGAGCCATTAGTCTCGTGATTAACGATCTGTCAGCATCTACCATGTCATCTAAATTCCTTAACAGTGATCTATTGTTGACACTTAAGTCAACCTGAACTCAGTCCAAATCAGATTGCGTCATTAGGAATCGATTTGCGTGTAAACGAATGAGAATTTAGTGATCAATCACTGATCATATGTCAATAATTTTAAATCTTCCACATTATCTCCAGGAATCACTTTATTATCATTCAGAGATTTTTTTATAAAAAAAGCACTACATTCGTAAAGATAAATACTGACCGACTAGTCGAATAATGGTAGAATCAGTTTCAGCTTGATAATTACACCTGACTCTGGCATTTATATAGCTGACAGAATCCAATTCCTGAGAAATATCAAAAGGTTCTATTACCTTCCCAAAGCATCTCAGGTTGTCCCTCAAGAACTATATTATTCCTACAAGCAAGGAATCGTATTCCCACAGAAAAGTTTGTTTTATGTGAAGCAAGGAGCAAACAGCTGATTTCGAGTTCGAGAAATTTGTACGAATTATTCAACGAAATTGCTATTTATTGATCATTTTGGCTATTCAATATTCAAATCCAGGGAATGAGATTTCAAATAGAATAACAATGATGACGTGACAAGCCTGTAACTTCAAACGAAATATTTCTCACTCAACTTCACTTTATGAGAGACATCATCACCTGGAATCTCGAGCCAAATGTTTCGTTGTTGAAGGCAGAGCGAAAATATCTACCTGTTCATCCTACGTCGTTCAAATATTGAGCGAAACATGAACAAAGTATTATAAAAATGTTCTGCATCAGCTCAGACGTTCTGCTCAAATGATCAATGGTCTTCAGAGGCTCATAATTCATGGAACCATCTAATTACTCGCCTCTGCGACAATTACTACCAGAAACAATCCCCCCAAAATAAATAAATGTCGAATCATTCAGTAATATCACCGATCAATCCGCTGTGATAACTTGAGTCAACAATAATGCGCGTCTCAGCAAACACCGACTCACAAATTTTTCAGCTCGAAAATTCCACATTGACACAAAAACTCGGATTAATACATCCCTACATACATTTCACCAGCAAATCAGTAAGGCAAATATCTTTATTGTTGCAGCACTGGTTGGGTCACGTCACATAGTGACGTTTATGCTGTTTTTGGGAATGGCCAACGCTTATGTAATGAGAACAAACATGTCAGTGGCTATCGTTGCCATGGTTAACCACACCGCAATCATCGAACATCACGACGAAGTTTTCAAGGAGTGCGGGGATGCTTCAGATTCCATCGAAAATCCACATGACCCGGTAATTAGACAAATTACCAAATTCGTTCCAGACTTTTCCACACAATAGATTAGAAAATTCAATGATCTTCAAGTCATCCATGCATAATCATCATAGCAATCCTTAATCACGACTTAATTCTGGTTCTTACATCTTCGATTCTCCTCATATTTAAAAAGCTGTCACGTGTGTTTGTTGTATTTTGCGAGTTTCCAGTTGCTCCAAGGTTGAGACACTGGGGTAAATCCTGATGTTGGAAGAGTTTTTAATGTTTATTGACTGATTTTTTGTGAATTTCAGTCTTCTGATGGTGAATACCCTTGGGATGCGACGAAACAAGGCTATCTTCTCAGCTCATTCTTCTACGGCTACGTAATAACGCAGATACCGTTCGGAATACTTGCCAAACGTTTCGGATCCAAGTACTTCCTCGGTGTTGGCATGCTGATAAATTCACTGTTTGGACTGCTTGTACCAATATCCGCTAAGTGGGGATTTGGATGGCTCGTTGGGGTACGATTTATCCAGGGTCTGGGAGAGGTAAGTACAAGCATTCGACAAACATGACAAGAGCAATCACCTGTGAGGGATCCTGTATGTATGTGAATTCAGTGGGGGACAAGACATTATTTTATTACAACGAACCATTCAATTTTTAATACGAGACATACGCTGATTAAAATAGAACTTTTTGAGAAATTCATCTTCACTTATATCAAATTATTGCTGAATTAGTCAAATCTCCTGCAATGAGAAAATAAAATCGTATGTTAAGTAATTTTGCATTTATTCTATAATAATTTCTTGATGGATTAATCAATTTTTCCTTTAGCCACGATTCTGAAACAACTTAATGCAAAATCTGATTCAATTGATTTGAAAACTTGAATTAATCATATGTCAGTGTGAGATACAAATTTTTCGATTTAAGTAAAGAAGGATTTCTCAGAAAACAATGATTTTCTCATATTTTCACTTTTTTTGTGAAGATGAAACGTAGAATTGGAAGTAGAGATTATAATATTTGACGGCAATACTGCTGCTAATTTTAGAATGTTCGTGTCAAGTAGAATTCACAAGATAACTTCAATACCGAAGCGGCAAAATTAGATTTATCACAAAAACCATTGATTCACGGAGGGAAACTCACAAGACTTTTTTGTAGCTAATAAAATGTCAGCCAAAAAAGCACTTTTGATATTCCCCCCTAAAATCAATTGTTTCCGAGATAAATCGATCTTGAACATACTTTAATATCAAAATACTAATGGATAACAATCGACTTCTCGTGTTTTCAAGGCATATCTGTGAATCGACGATAGATAGCAAAATTTCTCTCACGACCTGTTTTATAAATCAGGATAAGAGTTACAAAAAAGGTTTTACCAAAAATTTCGCTACCTTCCGTCATTTTCCAAGATATTCCTGGAAAACTTTTCAATTCTATGAATCGCCGTGTTATCCTTCACTTTTAATTATTCAAACTTCCAAGGGGAAAAGGATTTTTTCGTATGAATTTTGAGTAGAATTGTCACTTAGATTGTGTAGGATAGTAGCATTAACAAAAAAGAACTAGTAAAAAAAACGAAGATGTTAAAAATGTCATAGTCGAGTGTGAACGCTTTTTTTGATTGTTCGGGTGTATTTCCTCCCCCTAGGAATGGATTATCCCTATTGCAGGGTCCAATCGTGCCATGCACGCACGCTATGCTGGCAAAGTGGATACCACCGAATGAGAGGAGTAGGATGGGTGCCTTCGTTTACGCTGGTAAGCTTCAAAACAACCGAGAAATGACAAAATTTTTCAGTTTAAAACTTGATCCTATCGTCTCGAGTCATCCCCTACCTACCAATCTTCCAATCTGCACACGAACACACACATTCGAGTCATCGCGGGCCCCACCGGATTGTGGATCTCTGGGACTTGGATGTCTTTTCGAAACATTTTATTTGTACATTGAGTCGATACCAGAGAGATTACCATGGGATTGAGTTGAGACTAATTGGATATTTTTTTTTGTTATCTTCTTTTGGGGGATATTCACAGGTGCGCAATTTGGAACTGTAATTTCGATGCCTCTGAGTGGATTGTTGTCCAAGTATGGATTCGCTGGTGGCTGGCCCTCTATCTTCTACGTCTTTGGGGCTGTTGGTGCTGTCTGGTGCGTTGCTTTTCTCATCTGGGTCCATGAAGATCCCGAACAGCATCCCAGAATCTCTGAGGACGAGAAGAAGTACATTCTCAGTGCACTCTGGGGAAGTGCTGGGTCCTCTGTAAGTTTCTTCCTTTATTTTTCGTTTTTAATGAAACATTTTCACGTGAAAGCAACTTGTTTTGAGCAATATATTGACGAGTATCTTCAGTTAATTAGATATTATCAAATAATTTAGGGGTCTATTTGAAGGCATTTGAGTGTCTTTAATAATAAAACGGACTTTAATTTCCGCAGTCTCCACCAGTCCCCTGGAAATCCATCATGACTTCCCTTCCATTTTGGGCTATTCTTATGGCTCACATGGGACAAAATTATGGGTACGAAACCCTTATGACGGAGCTGCCAACATTCATGAAGCAGATCCTCCACTTCAACATAAAATTGGTAAATTATTTTTCTACCAAGCGCAATTAATTAGCCTCGGAGTGAAAAATGACAATTCAATTGGTTCCCCAGTTTATTTTCCGATGAATACCTCAGAATCTGAATCAGATATAGAAATTTTTGTTAAAACCTTTTTTGTGGCTTTCATTCCACTCCAGAAAAGAAGTGATTGCAAAAATTTTGCTATATTTCTTAGATTCCGACATATTTATGAAAAACCCGTTCACCCGTTAATCTAATCGACTTGTTATGGTTTACAATTTTGTTAATGATTTTTCAATGATTTATTTTGATATTGAATTTGTAATCCATTTAGAATGGAGTGGTTTCTGCTCTCCCTTATCTTGCCATGTGGATCTTCTCGATGCTGGTATCTCATGTCGCCGATTGGATGATATCGAGTGGAAGGTTTACTCATGGAAAAACGAGGAAAATCATCAATAGTATCGGTCAGTATGGGCCAGCTCTTGCCCTCATCGCTGCTTCATTCACTGGATGTGATAAGTGGTTGACCGTTGCTCTACTCACCATTGGGGTCGGCTTCAATGGTGGCATTTACTCCGGATTCAAGGTCAACCATCTGGACATCTCACCGAGATTCGCTGGAATTTTGATGTCGTTCACCAACTGTCTTGCCAATCTTGCCGGTCTTCTTGCGCCTATCACTGCTGGGTACATCATTGTGGGAACGGTAAAAATTTTTTTCTTCAACTTGGCATTTTTTCATCAACCAACGGTCAATTTAACGTTTATACACCTGTACTATTATAGTACAAGATAGTAAAGTTTGCAACGGGAGTAAAAAAAAGCGAAAATGGAAAAAAAATTTTAGAGGAAGAAAGTAACTTTTTTTCGGAATTCAATTTTTCTATCAACGATCAACCAATGGTTAACTTCAAATATGAAGTATAATATGACAGCACTTGAAGGTTTAAAAGAAGTAAAAATAAAGAATAAAAAATTAGGGGATGGAAAGCAACATTTATTGAAAATTGATTTTCCCCATCAATCAACTGTTGATTCTGCATATATTCATTATTGGAGGAGGAAGATTATTTTTTTTTCCAAATTGAATTTTTCTATCAATCAATTTCCTAAATCAGAAAAGGTCGTTCACAGGGTCCAGAAGAGTTAAAACTAAAAAAAAAATTATGAACAAAATCAGTATAAATGGAAAACCTCTTATATTGACCCGCTCTATTAAAGATTGTTAATTATTTATGCAGATTTAATATCCCCCGAAAGTTTTTTGAGACTCTTGAGCTTTTTAAACAAATGCAAAAAATTGACAAATCGTCTAAAATCTGAAATTCGTTACTTATTCACAACTCTAAAAATTAGACGATACTTTCAAATCCTACACGTATTCGTCATTGTGACTTCAGTAAATCATTCCAAACCCTGGAGACTTGCCAGGTTCAAGAGTTATATTTGAATTTGATTTACGTATTTTTTCCACAAGCATGAATTTGAATATCACAAAGCACTCAAGCTACTGCACGTTACCCGATAAAAAAAAAACTTCCGCCAAATAAATCCATTCAAAATAACTAAAAGTATAAAATTTCTGCATAAAATCGACATTTAAATTCTAGTCTCTTGCATTAATGAGCTATTTAAATTTGTTTCAACTGAATTGACAGATATATATTTTTCTAAGTGCAGACTGTTTCGGAGTTGCGAGTAAGTCAATGTGGTGTTAACGACTGATTTCTTTTCCAGCCATCCCAAGCAAAATGGAGGACGGTCTTCATGATCTCAGCAGGTGTCTACATAGTCTGTGCAACTTTCTACATAATCTTTGGCTCAGGAGAGCGACAACCCTGGGACAATCCAGACAAGGACGACGAAACCAAGAGGAAGCAGCAAAACGACGTAGAGTCTAACAAAACGATCAATGAGACACAGCATTGACCAATCGCACAAAACAAATCGTTATAACCATTTCTACTGTACAAAAATATTTGTACAACAGGCTGTGTGCGATAATGTGTCGGCAACTCTTCTTTATTTCAATTTCGTTACGATAAAACATTCATTCCCTCCGCGCACTCTTTGTTTTTCGTCTTCTCATCGTTCGTCTTCCTAAGTTACAAATTAAAGAGAAAAAAAATGTGCGAACGTCGATTTTGATAGATTGTCCTGGATTTAGTGATTAAAGTTGATTAGAGAGATAAAATTGAATGGATTGACATGAAGGAATTGTTTCCGAGGTGATTTGATGTAAATATAAACATTCAGAAGGAAATCCAGTACTCAAAATCATTGGGCATCAGATCATTGAGATTACGAATCGACGTTTGGGGCAGCAGTATTAGAGTAGAACGCCACACGTTCGCCAATCTTCGGTTACATTGTTTTGTTTTTTTTTACAATCAACTTCTGCCAGTTTTGTATTGTTAAATAATTCGAGATTTCGTGGACTACGACATCCAGCAACAATATGAAGTGGTTTTATAAATAAATGTAGATATAAATTCTCGTAGGATCGTAATAAGTTATAGACTAGATGAATTATTAACTGTAGTTATTTATACGAATGGATAAGAAGTGCAACATTGGAATTTGTTGGTTTATCATCGGTTCAGTTAGTGTACGATAGAATGCATTTTTTCTTTCTTTATCTTTTTTAATTGCATAAACGTTTTTATCCGTTTTGTTTCTCTCCTCAATGAGCACAAATTGCTTACGATGATGACTAATACATTTTTGATTTGTTTTTTTTTTTATATATTGTAAAGTTTTTGAGATGACTATGCCGAGAGTGTGGAATTGAACAAATTGAAGGTTTTTGTATGCAATTATGCATATTGTTCTTCCGATTGTTTGCCAATTTATTATTTATGAGTAATTGATGGTGCGAGTGACTAACATTTTCGGCTCGACATCCAATACATATCAAGTTTTTTGTGGATTCAATTCGAAGAGAATAAATATGTGGATGAAAATGGGAAAAATGATACTTTTGACTTTTTCAGAATATTTGTAAATTAGAAATAAATTTCGTGAAATCAAAATGAATTCTGGAAGAAAGTAAATAAATTCCATAAATTAATAAATTCTTCATGGTGAAAATTGAAGAGGCAGAAGTGTCTATTTTGCGCCATCCCTTAATGAAAGTTCGATTGTCGACACGATATTGATGAAATTAGAGTAGTGGAATCGTGTCTTTATTTTTAATACGTAATTTATAAAAAAATAATCTGTCAATTGTTTCTGGAATAAATTCAAATAATTCATGTGAATGTAATAAAGATATTGCGATAAATTGAATAGTATTTTTTCGAGGAAAATATGGATAAGTAAATTTTTGCAAATGCCTGCCTCAAAATTCCTTATCTTTTTATATAAATGGAAAAAAGTCATATTTATGAGATGTACATAGTCGATGAATTTAATGGCCCCCGCAATGTTGTAAAATTATATATTTTTATTGTTGGGATTACATATGTGATAATAGAATTCTCCGGTAAATAAAACCATACCATCTTTCAGACAATTGTTGTTTTGTTCTTTGTTAGTTTAGTACGTGTCTGACTCCAGTGAAACTGAGGAACAGATTCGCCTGTGGGAGTGACCCTGTTTCACTGAGAAATTGTGTGTGAGCGTTTGAATGAGTTATTGGTGAGAATATTCGCATTTCGATGTGGAAACTTTCACTCAGGCTCGGGTACATACGTTCAGGTGGTTGGTAAACAATTATTTTTACTGAGGGAGTCGAGGAAAGCGATGTGCAGTTGGTCAATTATTCTTGGAGAAATTAGTGATGAATTTTAATGGGCGAGGGTAAGCAATCCATTTGATTTATGGGTGTGCGTTAGTTTCAGCGCTTTTCTGTTTTCCTAATGATTTGTGTATCCTGAATCGGTCATAAAAAATGGTTCGTAAAAAAAAAGACGATTAGGTTTATGAAGCATCTTAGGTTGCCTTTCAGGATCTGAAGGTTTCCAGACTGGCGCCTGGAGAACATCGTTAATTTCTTAGACGCTACGCGTTAAAAAAATCGCTTTTCTCAAGGCGTGCATCTGGAAAAATTTTGTTAAAGCCACGTCGTGGTATCTGTTTTCGGCGGCAAGACCTGAAAATAACTATTTCAGCAAATTTGCGTTCATGTGAAACAAAGAGTCGATAGCTGCATTTTTCATTTGGAAACTTTACATGAATTACTCAACGAGATTGCTATTTGTTGGTCGTGTTGGCTGTTTAATAATCAAATGCGGGAAATTAAAGTTCAAATGGAATAGAAATTATGTGACAGCGAGCATATAACTTCAAACGAAAAATTTCTCATTCAGCTTCATTTTCTGAGAAACGTGAATGATCAGCATCTTGAACTAAATGTTTGGTTGTTGAAGACAGGACCAAAATCTGCCTATTCATCCTGCGTTTTCCAAATATTTAGCGAAACATGAACAAAGTGTTGTAAAAATGTTTTGCATCAGCTCGAACGTTCTGATCAGATGATCCACCATCACCAGATCCTCATAATCCATAGAACAATCTCATTACTCACCTCTGCCACAATTACTATCAGTAAAAATCCTCCCAGAATAAATAAATGTTGAGTCATCCAGTAATATCACCAATCAATTCGCTTTGATAGCTTGGGTCGACAAAAACGTGCGTCTGGAGAAGTTCATCAACGATAACACTAATCTGTGATCAAAATAAAAAAAAAGAATTCGGTAAAATTTAATGCAGTAATACTGCCTTCGTAATGAGCAATTACAAACCCGAGAGCAATCTTGTTTGCATAATCCACAACAAATTACCCGAGTGCACTTAGAATCAACATTCCCACCTGGGGAATCACCCGGGGAAGAAGTGCATGAAGTGTAATGAAGTGGGGGACGATTCGTGTGTACGTTTTCTTTCACGGGAATGTGGGGCCCAGGGTCTGCAGTCTGACCCACTCACATTCTCCTCAGTCAAGCCGCAGACGTGAATCCTCACGTTTTATTCCATCCTCGTGATTGCAAGGAGACACCAGAAAAAAATCATTGTCCTTTGAGATAATCTGGCGAATTTTTTGTTCCATTTCGTTTCGATCATTCATGAGACGAGCGAGGGGACTGGTGACGGTGGGCCTGGGGTTTTTGACAGTGATCTTCATAGTATTCAATGTGAGACCGGTGAAAGAAGTGAAGATCAATGAAAGAAGTAGAAGAAGAATCGATTATGATGTCTCGGATTTTCATGATGTGTTCACCAATGCACAAGTGAGTGAACATTTAAAGCGGAATTGTTAAAGCTCTTAAAATTTTCAAGTAAATTAGATAAAACTTCATTAAATCCTCATTAAATTATCCGAAAATTCGATGATTTCTCAGATATCTCATTATTGCAAATAAACAAGAGAATTTGCGTGTTAAACACTGGATTACAAACTGGAGTAAATTCATTATCCTATCTCTAATTGCAATGGGAATGATGATTTTTACACAAAGAATTGAGTTGAATTCTTTTTTTGAAGTATTTTCACTTTTAAAATTGAAAAGATAATGAAATTGATAAAATAATTACAATTCTGAATATTCTTTATTTTTTTTTCAATTTTTACAATGTAAACTCGGCTCTGAATTTGCTGTGAGGTTAAAAGTGAAAAATAATGGCCGTTATTATTGCCATTATAAATAATACCATAATACTTAGCATTAAAATAATTTCCGGCATTGGTCTACTGAAATAGAACGTTAGAACGGATTTTTTATCGCTTTTCCTCGGGCTATTTCATTGATGTCCTTAAAGAGTATAAATAAATATCGAAGGAAAGGATTTAGAAAGGATTTACTTCAATAATGTCTTGAGTAATCTCGATCCTCATTAAACTCTCGATTTTTATTCCCCAAATGATGTTCCATTATACCTAAAAAACTGATAACTCAAATCTCTTGAGGTCCTTTACTTTCCTCGAGAATTGCCTCTCAAATTTGATTGATTAATTAATTAATTCATTCTTTAATTTGAATTCATCAATTTATATTGGGACAGCCGACGTTAAAGAACGAACTATATTTTTTATATTATCTTTTTCTTGGTAAACTATGTGGAATTTTGCGACATGCACACTTCCGGTACTGAATTAATCAGCGAATAAGTACTTTCCCGATATGGCGAGTTTAATGTATGCAGAAGGTTGTCAATTTCCAATTCAATTGATTTCGCAGACGCATCACTCGGTCACACCCTCACTTGCTGAGCTTGGAATCCGAGGAATTTTACCAGAGATGAATGAAGACATCCTCATGGTGACTAGAATACCAGGTGCTGGTGCTGAATTGCTGGTTCTCATTCTTCAGCGATTGCAGGGATACAATGCGTTTAAACATATCAGACTGCCACCAGGTGATAGTGGATTACTCTCATCTCTTCAACAGGTGATTATAGTACTCGGATGTAAATATTATAAATATTCAGTTGAAATGACGCATCTTGTACGCAATTCCGGAGCAAAACTGGTTGATGAAAATTTTATAAAACTTTATTGAATTATTTTCTCCTGTTTCAAATCATTTTACACTATTTAAAAGTGCAGAAAACTCTATTGAATTTCAAATCAAAATAATTTAATCACTCAAACTAATCTTAATTATTTATAATTATTTGCACTAATATTATATGGAAGATAATAAATTAATAACTTTTTGATCCATTCAATTGTCAATTCGCCTTATATTTTTATAAATTTAATCAATTATTCATTTGCTGTTGAAAATTCTTTCTCCTGCGCCGTTTGAAATAAACCAGATAAAATGGAGATAACAATCAATAAATTTAGATTTTTCCATAAAAATAATTCTGCTGCAATTCATAAATCGAAAGTGAATAATTTGACGGAGTTTTTTTTATTGGAGATATGACCTGTCGGTAATTGGGGCATTTGAAATATGAAATCGGGTGAAAAAATATCGAGTGAAAGGAGCAACAATGGCTCGTGGAAACCACGATCTTCCCTCGAAATTGTTGCGCCTGAACTTTAACAGCCCGTGAACTTTACCACGATCGACTCTTCTCAGTTTTTATCTCCACATTATAGTGATTAGCCATTTATGTTCCTGGAAGTAGTTGAGAATTCAGTCGATTAGACTCTGTCCGGTAATCGGGACCGGTCTTTTGCTATGACGCAATCGAATTCTGCGATCTTGTTTGGCGAGATCGTTTCGAAGGGAATTCGTCGTCGATTGTAGCCCGGGTCACTGGATTTATATAAATAAAGACTTAAACAATTTGCATAAGCCTGACGAATTAATTCCATCGACATGTACATGCCATCAAGTTTCTCTATAAAGTGTTGATCAAAAATATTATATTGTTCAATATAAACGATATTATTAGATAAACTTAAAATTTCATAATTCTTTTTTATTGTACTCAAAATATATACCCCTTTTCAGGTTTTTACATTTTCTTTCTTTTCCGCAATTTCATTGATATCGCAATTCGGCCGATGGCGGAAGGGAAAACCCCATGGGAAAAACCTCGCCCAGATACAGTCGCGTCCCTCTTGAGACTATCACTCGGATAATGAACCTGTATAAATTACAGATCGATCCAAAACTACTTTGAATTTTTCCCGACCGGGAATCGAACCCTAGTCATCCGCGTGTCAACACAACGTTCTAACCCCACCGCTGTCGGTCCTTGAATTTTAATAATGATTTAAAGAATATCATGTGGTTTTATAACTGTCACTCTCAACAAGTTTTTCTGAAATTAATCGTTTTTTAGATTAATCGATTTTCATAACAAATTTTGACTCGTCGCACTTTCTTCACTAGACTATTTATGATTTTTTTATTTCAAGAATCATTTGAATAAAAATTTACAGTTCCCACAAATGAGTCTATGACATTATGAATTTTTACTTTAAAAAATGTTGATAATTCTATTTGAAATTTTTTGTGGCACACTATGAGAATTTCTGATGAAAATCATTCGTAAGTGAAATGAATTATTACGAAAAAATAGAGAGAAAAGTCACGTGTCAACGACTTGACCATGGGATCAATATCCATTGATCAATTCCTCCATTAACCACTGTAATTGATTAATCAAGCGGCCATTTATTGATCAAACCACTCAAATTTCTATACCGGAGTGAATAATTGATGAAATGATATTTATAAGAAAATATCTGACAGTTTGAGTATTATTTACCGTAAGAATGACTTCAAACAAATGAATGGAATATTAATTATTCTAATTACCAATGATTGTCGTAATCGTCATTTAAGGAATTGCTGGTAGAGGAAATAACGAGCATCATTCGGCAAGAGGCAATTCCATTGAGTTTCGACGGAGACGTGAGATTTCTCAATTTTTCACAATTCGGGAGACAAGCACCTGTTTTTGCATCACTAGTACGAAACCCCATGGACCCCAGGACCCTCCAAAGGTACAAAAGATCAACTTACCTATCAATTACACCGCGAAAAATCCTCATCACTCCCATGCAATTTGTTCTACTCTCAAAGTTCTCCCTTAAGGGATTTTTACTGTCAAATGATTTTATGCGAATTTCGTTCCTGAACATGCGATTCAACTTTCACCGCAGAAGTTCTTGTAATTGAGCAATTGGGGGCATATTTCGTATTTATGGGAGTGCAATGTGGATGGAAAAATGGGGTTTATGCAATGACAAGTTATGCGGTTATTCAATCGTTAATTTTCTCAAACTCGTCAATTGGTGGTATGATTTGCTGTGACAGGTATCGCAGAGGTGGTGCCACGGCCATTTATCGAGGATCAATAGCTCATTTCTGCGGACAGGATCCACGATGCACGTAAGCATGTCACTTCAACTTTCCTTTTAGATATCGGAGCCTCGGGGATTAGTGGATTACTAGATCAATTACTAGATCGATTGCTCGAGGGAAGTCGATGGTGCTCTTGTTTCCAATTAGCTCATTCGGATTTCTCACTGATGTAACTTAATGAGAATAGATCTCCCATAATATTCACATCATTTTTTTATGTTTATTTCTTACCCATATTTTTTGAAATTACTTGGTCTCCACACGAGGCAGTAAAATAAGAAGGAATAACCAACCAATTTGCGACCTTGGTTTCACCTTTGAAATTATTAACTTCAAATCACCTTAGTTTCTATGATGGATGCTTGGGTTGATGTACGAGACTTCCCACTCCTTTTCCCTTCTAGGGGTATGCATTGATGAAGCTATAGTAAGATAAATTTCCTCAAATTCAAAACACGACGCGGTTGGCATGCACCCCACAAAGATTATGTTTAGTCTGGTCTCCGTCTTCAACTAGTTAGGAATTACCCTTTTCTCATCGTGATCTTTCTTAGTTTCGATGATGATTGGTGGCTAGTCAGGGTATCAATTAAATTTTGGTATCAATTAATTTGTGGTGTTGTTGGGTATCACCAAATAAGAATTTTCAAAATCCCAACATTTTAACGGCACAAAAAGATTATCTATCTATCGATCTATCGATTATCTATCGATCTATCGATTATCTATCTGAATTTCAAATACAATTACAAACGAGTCAAAATTCAATTCAATTTGTAGGGAATCATGCGGCCGATATGATATTTACAATTATTATTAATGTCTTCGAAAAATTGTGAAAAATTTGAAACGAATTTAAGTAGAATTTGGAGGCGATAAAAATTTCCAGAAATTCTATGGGAAAGCCTAGGCTATTTACTATTTTATTGTCTGTATTTGGATGTTTGTGTTTGGAAGATTGGATAAAGATAAATAATTAAATGGAAATTCCGGGTATTTTTAGGAAAGTCAATACGAAGTGGCGATTGCAACGAGCGAAGGAGAATGTCCTCAAGTGGTACAAAGTCATCGGAATCCTGGAGCACATGGAGGAGACATTGTCCCAGCTTGAACGACAGTCTCCTTACTTTTTCACTGGTGCTCTAAAAGTCTATAAAAAACTCCGTGAGTTTTCATCATCACAGAAAACCGCAGAGAAATGAGAATCCTTGTATCACGAAAACTCTAATCTCTTAATAACTGCTTATTAACCAATTCAATTAATTAATTTGAGCTCAAGCAACAAATGAATCCAAAATAAATGAAATTTTCTCTACTTCAGTGGATAAATGAAACAACTGCTAAATTTTCATCCCATTCCCAGGAAAAAATCCTGGGAACAGGTGAACAGGTCCTCAAGGAATTCTTTTTTCTCTGTGGACTGTATTTTGATGTTTAAATTGATCAATTCTTCTGTGGATTCCTCAGGACCCCACAAAACACATCATCAAAACACAACACTCACCCTGAAGCCCGCCACGAAAAAACGTTTAGGGGAACTCTTCAGGGATGAAGTAGAGTTCTACATGTGGCTAAAGTCCCGATTGCTGAGTGGTGCATATGGAGATGGTTGACACTCAGTTCAGGATTGATGATGTCCTGATCGAAGGTCGTCGGCGAAAGCAGAGGATGGGAATGATGAGGTCATGGGCATCAGCGACAGAGAATTCAACCCGTGTGACACAATGTGGAATAGAACTGTACAAAGGGCCTTTTCAATGTGATATATCCTTGAGGACTCTGGTAGCCGCTCTAAATAACACAGCGTAAAAATATTACGGAACGATAGAACAGTTTTTAATATTATGACGAAAAATATCACAACGAAAATATTGGTAGTAATATTACACTGTCAACATATCACAGCGGGCAATGTTATTGATAACTATGGAATACACTCAAAACACAATAATTATCGCTACTCCGATTCTCCCTTTTGTTGATCTGCCACAATATTTTAATCCTTTATTTTTGCCTTGGAGTTTGTTTATGGAATTCTAGGCTGATCAGTTTTCTATTTATGATCGATTAGTTTTCTATCATTGTGGTTATTTAGATATTGATTTTCCTGATCTGTACGTGTAATATTTTGATTTTGTGTGATTACCTGTATGATACTCTAAGATGTATAATATTTGGACTGCGTTATCTTTATTGCAATATTTTTCAGTGCAACATCATTATTGTATGGTATTTAGAGCGGTACACTGGATTCTTTATTTATTAGTGAATTAAGATAACTGTAACTTTTTTCATTCAGTTAAATATCAATTCGCAGTGAAAATAGGAGAGACCACAAGTAATTCCTAATCGAAGAGAGATGCACAATTTTTTTTTATAGAAAGTTTTTTATATTCCTCAAAAAATCATTAACTACATCGATTTGGTACTTTCATTTTTTTGCTGCTGAATTCATGAGATATTTCTTGAATTTTCATTTTCTCTCGAGGAGATTCATCAAAAAATTGTTGTCAATGTGATATGAATAAAACGTAAGAATTTATGTTCCAACAACGGAAAATATTCTGAATAAAAATCCTGTAAATTCCTGAGGGAACATCCGATATTTCAAAAATTCTTGTTCATAGCTGGAGTGCCGCCCTTTTAAGAGTACCCACTGTCGGCAATACATTATCTACATTTACAACAAAAATATGACCACCCATTTTGTGAGACACTCTCAGATGGCGGTACCAGTTCAAAACTCAAATCAAAGTAACAAATCTCTCTGACCCCTCAAATGCTTCCGATAATAAATAAATTTATGCTCCTCTTTCCGTTTCTTAATGCTTTTCCAATTCGTTAGGCTCGGTCAATCAACGCGCTAATAAACAAAACCCGTACTAAACATCAATACATATATTATTGAAATATAATTCGGAATACAATATCACAAACAGTAGATAGTATCACATAGATCTGGAATGCAAGTCAAAAACATCATAAAATCTTCAAGAGTATCTTCGAAAGTTTGATTCCTTAATATGTACCTAGACGATTTAAAAAGACAAAACTGTTCCCAGAATCCAAGAAATCGATTCAAAATATAGGAAGAGCAGCCATCAGTCAGAGATGAGGTCCAGTGTATCCAAGTCGTAGACGAAGAAATCCGTCCGGAAGAGTCTCCAAGTCCCTAAATCCGATAATGCAAAATGATTAAATTCCCGACGCAGTTGAAATAATTGGGACCCGCATTTGCCCTTACCGAAAGAACATTGATTGACAATCACAATTGTGCCTATCAAGCAGTGGGTCACAAAAAAATCCACCACCTCAGCGACGAATGAGTCGAGCTCGGCGATGAAGAACAGACGTGTTGACACCGGTTTCACCATCCGCGGTGACTGATGGCCGTCGTGATGAGTGCGGTGGTGTAGAGGAATCACAAGTGCCATCCGGGGTGAAATAAGTTGGAAAAGACGATCGCCGGATCAACGGCGGAACGCAACCTGCCTTCGACGTGGCTGGAACGTAACTTTTTCATGTTTTCCATTGTCATCGTAATCATCTCAATGCACATCCAGATGTTGCAAGCATCACATCAATTGTTCACCATGCAACAGGAAAAAAATGAAAGAATTACCGAGCATCCTAAGAGGAGATCGGTGCATTCTGTGGCTGTCCAACGACATCTGCGGCTTGATCGGCTCCCGAGAGATGCACCTCCTCGGCAGCATAAGATCGACGATCGATTGCCGTCTGGACATCACCCCGTCATCCCCAGTGTCCTATCAGGAATGACGATTAAGACGATTGCTTGGGAATAGAGAATCAAGAACAAGTTGACTCAAGACCGAGAGAATGAGAGCAATCAATCTACGGGTATTCGTACCTGAGGGTTGATGAATCGCAGACGCAATAGCTCGACGAATGCTCCAATGACGGAGACGATCAGCAGAAGTGCCAGTATGTGATCGGTAACGGGAACTGATTTTGGACGGATGACACGGAAGCCCGGAAAGTTGATGCCGTTTGGTTTTTCCATAATCACATCTTTCGGTGTCTTCGGATTGTCATACGTGCAGTTCCTGTCGTAATTGCTCATGAAGGTCGAGGCTATCCAGTGTTGGTATCCCGCAGGGCACAGCCCCAGCCTCCGGAACTCGATTTCTTTCTCAATTACAATGGTTTTGTTCATCGGAACGATCTGCTGGACCTCGTTTGTATCCAGGAGAAGTCTCAACGGAAGCACCACCAGTCCAGTGAAAATCGTCAGGACGGCGATGATGCCGACATTCACACCCAGCATCACTCTGCCATCCATTTTGATTCAGCTCTGCACAATCACTTCACATCACTTCTTCAGGGCAAGCAGAAGAACTGATGAGGGAGCTTACCAATTGGAATGTGATCTACTCACATAATAAGGGAATTGAGAAATTACCCGTGACGCAGTTGACAATGATCTCACGGGAGTCTAGGTGTGGAACTGTCACACATGGTATCGGAGTTGTTATCCGGGGAAAACTTGATATTGATTAGACTGGGAGGCCAGACTGCGCAGGCCACGCACTCTCTGATCTCGTGCCTGACCCCATTACCCGGTAAAGTCATTAATGTAGGTCTTGATATAGGTCTAACTTTTCAAACTTTCTTGATGCTGGACACAGAAATTCATTATTCAGAGAGAGAGGAAATAATTGTTGCAAGAGCATAATTACTTGCTTCGAGAAACATCTGGTCTCCATTGGATTTCTCTCCAAGCAAGTCATTGTTCATTCAATTCAATCGATAAATGTTCTCTATTCAAGGAATTCTCCACAGCCCTACGGTATTAGCGAAAAAAAAATTGACCATACAGGACGATATCATAAAATTTTTTGAGAAATCACTCGTGTCTAGAAATTTTCTCTCATTTTAAGGGAATTATCCTTGAACGAAATAAAAAAGTAATTGGTTTCAAGGATTTCCATTCGTTAGAGTCTAGAATCGCGGGTTTCTAGAAACAACTGATTTTTCCCTTGAACTGAGAATGCTCTTTTCTATACAATCATGGAAAGTGGTTGATGCGAAAGGTTGATGTGCATGAATCTCATAATGAGCAATGGATCCATCAAGGCCGATGGGTTATTGAATTTGTTGAATATCATTATTTCCCTTATGATTCTTCTTGACTTTGAGCGTGAAAGTCTTGCAGACTTCTGGCTTGCAGAACCTGTAACATTAATTCTAAATTAATTGAAACTTCTTGTCTAATCCCCGGAGATTTCCGTACCCTCGAACCCTGACCGGCAACAAAGGTAGCTGAACCAACAAAAGCATCCGATCGACGTCGGCGTTTACAAACCGTAATAAAACAATTGAACAGCAGGTACCACCGCAACTCCCCCTGCATGTGTAAAAACGAATGGGGATGAGGCAAGCGAGAGAGATAAAGGACTCGAGAGAAAAAGGTACCGGAGAGTATATAGAAACAACAAAAGTGACTAAAACGAAGAGAATGAAACAACAGGAGAACAGCGACCCGACCCGACCGACCGGTAGCCCAAGCACACGTATATCTTGCTTCGCTTCACCACCACTACCTCCACGACGGTTCTCAAACACTTCTCATTCCTCCCAATGTACCACACTATACATTAAATTCGACGAAAAAAATGTTAACACTATTTTTCTTGCACGTATACTTATGAAAATTCATAAAGACTAATTGAGTCTCCGCGCCACTGAATCACTTGTAAAAACCCGCTCGACACATTTCCTTACACCTACACTCGGGATTAATTAAGTGCTCACGGCTATTTATGATAAAACCGATATGATAAGGAAAAAAACACCGGGTGGGGGGACACTCTGCCATTTTACTGACATTAAAACTCGTTGACAATACAGTAAAAGTTCTTCCACATCGCCAGGTCATTACGCCCTTTCCGATGATTTTAGACTCATTACAAAAATTCATCGTAGAAAAACTTGTTGAATATTTTAGTTGAAGTTTCGGATGATAAATATTCAGTGGTATCTATCAAATACCTAATAATCAGCGCATTGAAAATGTTATTATCCCAAGATTATCTAAGACTCTTTGAAATATTAGAATACCATTGATATTCCTTTTCATATTATTTAATAGTTTAATTTTTCATTCAAATCGAATTAATAAATATTGAAAAACTAATTGCTAACTAAACTATACTTGACGTGGCAGAAACAACAGAATCCTAATCAATTTTATTTTATTTCCATCTTTATCGTTAATGTTATTTTAATTAAAATGGATTTCACGTGGATTTTCAGTAGAAAATATTATTATGACATATAGGGGCGAATCAGGGATGTGTATTTAAATCATAAAAGTACCGGGTCGCTGATTGGCTATTTTTTAAACCATATTTTCACGAGGTGCACTTGAGTATTGACAGTATCTCCATATTTACATAATAAAAAATAACCGGTATATAAGATAGCCCGTGGACACAATTTATAGTTCCTCTGAGGTACTATAAATTGGTTGTTTTTTCGTTGTGATATTCTCCGAACAATAATTCCAAAAATGGTAGATGCAGTATCAAAGGCGAACTCGCTGATTGAGAATCGATTGACGGCAGGGGGCGGTGATTTGAAGTTGCGTTGGTAAAAAAAATTCTAACTATTTGAGGGGCACTCGTGCAGCAATGTGCTGCAATGGTGCGGTTGAGAGCCCGGGTATGTAGAGCAGATGCTCGGGCCAGTGGCTGGGGTGCGTGATTTTTCACCGGCCGACAGCTACTCCTTCTGGACTCAACCGACAGTGCATTCCGATGTTATTGACGTCTTTCCGTTTTTTTTTCCATTTTTTTTCTTATTGCATGCAATTCAGGGGATGCTTGAGAAGTTCTCAAAACTGAGGCGCTTCAATCACTCAATTACCAGTCCATAAGCAAAAATTGTAAGACTCTTACATGACCCATGACATTGTCTTCTGAAAATGGTCAAGCGAGCGAAATGAGCGAAATGAGCGAATTGAGCGAATTGAGCAAAACGAGAGTAAGAGAGGGAAAAAACCCATTACCCTCAAAAATATAATGATCTATTTCAATTTAAATGCAATTCCCTCCACTGTCATAAAATTCTTCATGCAATAATGACCTTAAATACCTGATTCACTCTCTGCATCCTGTGCACTGCATAAAATACAGAGAAGAGGATTTTTCCCGTTTCTAAAAAGACAGGATGAGGCCATCCTCTGAGTGAAAAAAATACAGGAGCGTGAAAAATGATGGAAAACATAATGCGAGACTTGCCGCCCGGCTGTCCCTTTTTGTCTGGTAATAACAAAGGGCCAGCTAGGATAATCAGGGCCCTGTAGACGAGGTGCAACGGCATGTGTTAGAACGGTAGGCTTAATAATCACACGACTCATCGAAGCCACCAATTACACTCTGGCCATTCTCCGGTAAACAGATGGTTTCAAAACACCGACTTCTTCACTGATGTACCTCTTCTTTTTTCCTCGAGAGTTAATTGACGCAGCACGAGCCCCGGCACAAGCGAGACGCCGGCATATTCATGGTATGAGCTGCAAAATTTCCATCTTATGGGGGTTTATCAAGTCGAGTTTGTTGATGTTCGAGTAAAGTGCGGTGTCTCAACGCCTTCGGGGTACCTTCCTACCTTGGATGATGATCTGATGGGGGAATAATGGTCCGGTTGTTGAGATACAACTGGACAGATTAACAAAGCATTTTTTTTTTCACTCGTAGAAATGAGAAAATATTCACAAGGCATTTCAAATGTATAGGAATAAAACTGTCAGGGTGAGGAAAACAGAGTCTGAAAAACGGCCAACTGTTCGAAATCGGTTTTCGTGTCACTTCTTCAACTTGATTCAAGTCTTTTTTAGGCTTCATTTGAGATGATTTGTTGATTTGACGCTCTTTTGCTTGAAAATCCAACGTTTCAAGTTACTCATGTCATTGAAATTCAATCAATATTCAACCAATACGTACACTAAAATTGTTAATTAAACGGATAATGAGAAAAAGCCAGTCTGGAAATTTCGAAGTAACTGCCGATGTTGATGTTATTTATTTGGCCAATGTGTTTAGCACTTATATTGTATTCGATGCATTTGAAATTCAGTGGTCCATCTCTGCTGACTTTAACCTTCAACATTTTGCAAGTAAACGTGCGTCGGATCTCTCGAGCACACCGTGGATATCGCAATTACGCAAATTGCTGGCTCTGTTCTCGCCTCCTCGAGGCACTTGAGGCCCCCCGGGAAGGATGAAGACCACATCGTCGGAGGATCGGTTCAGGCAAGAAGATGCGGAATGAAAAGGGAGAAGAGGAAGAACAAAGAAACGAGAAAGTACTTTGACGCATCTCTTTGGGTATTTCGAAGAGCGACCAGAAGAAAGCCAAACGTGGATTTCTTCACCCACCCGTTACCTAGGAGCAATTTGAATAGTTCTCTCGGGACCGCTACCGTTCTCAATGATTACGCGTCGAGGGGAAAAAACACCCGTTGAAAAATCACTTCCGGTTTTGGTTCAACATCGTCAAGTGGATAAACACGAGGTGAACTCTGGGACTCGGGACACGAGACACAGGTTGATATTGTAATTAACTGGCTCAGCATCGTCGGGCGTTCATTAACGCATGAAAAACTCAAGGCGGATGGAATCAGCTGGACTAAAGCATGTGGAATTCCTCTATCAGTGGCATGAGACACAACATAAACAGGTAACATCTAAACCAGTTGTATATGCATTCAACGATCACGTCATCTAACCAGAGCAACATCCAACGACAAATTCGCATACTAATAGCCTAATCACACTCTAAAAAGGGATTACATATGGAAACATATTGGATCCAACTTTTGATCAGTTAACTTTTCAAATGTCGAAGTGCTTGTGGAAAGTGCTTGACGGAAAAAAGTTGAAACTCTATTTAAAATTTTATTGTCAATTTCAGCGTTCGCAGTTGCCATTTCCCAATTAAATGAAATCTCAAAGATTTGATGGCACCCCTCGAACTGCGCTTGAGTGGCCAATCCCAGCAACTAGATCCATAAAGATGAAACCCCAGAAATTCCCTCAAACTGGTAATTACGATCCGGCAAAATCATCGTCCCTCTCCCCGAAATAATCAGCCACCGCGACTTCTGCTCCGATAATCGCGATAATTTATGCCCGAAGGAGACGTTCGGTGTAATACTCTCGGAGGCCCGTCGGCAGATACTCCAGCTCTTTGGAGTACCAAAAAAGACCAATCCCGGTGGAATAAATGTAAAAAAAATACGAAAAAAAAGAGAAAAATGGATATTCCGTATACACATATACCGCGCATAAAAAGCACCGCGAAATGTCGCCCAATTAACAGCGAATTGGAGCGCTCCGAGGTCGGTGTGCACCATCAGAGGGAGAGTGTTGTGCATTGGGAAAAAGGGGAGAGAAGACGACATTAACGACTCGTACTCATGCCCTCCCTTCAATCCCCACGTACCCCCCCCCTCCCTCCCCCTCGGACCCCTCTTGGCAAAATACGCGGCGCCATTAACGCACGAGTTAACCGGGGGCTTAAATATACCGCCGTCTAACCAATGAGAACTTGAGGGGAAAATAAAAAATAAGGGGAATGAATTAAAAAAACAACGGCCAAGGGGGGATATATTCGCATCTTCAACGGTCCCATTTGGTGGATGAGAGAGGTTTTACGGTTTTATTATTGGGCCCCCTCCTCGCGACCCTGCGATATTCATGCCGAGTTGTATAATCATAATTTTGAAATGAGGGGAATACTTTGCATGAGGGATAATGAGGGGGGTTGACG